AATTCAGCTTCCCTGTACCCCGAGGACTGCAGGGACTCCAAGGAGGAGGAACGCACTACTTTGCAGCAAGCAGAGCAGCGTTGTGGTCCTACCTGCCTCTTGTCCCTTGAGGAAGCCCCAACCCACAGCTCCGATCGCCAAGCTCTGGATGACTCTCACCTCCTCCAGACCACAGCTTTCCTACGGTTCTCCCTGTGAGAGGACAATTTGTGCTGGCACCAACCATTGTTTCATTGTTCTCTCGCTGCAGGGACTGATAGTTGTTAATGACTTGAGGTGTAATTAATTTTTAACGGCACCATCTTAATTGCCAGGCTATAAATAGACCTTACCGCCCCTTCTCTGGCTCAGCTGCTTTCTCACATATGTTTTGCTCCACGTCGGGGGGATCGTGGTGCTGAGAGGTCTGTGTGGTGAGTACCCTCCCCATGCTGCACAGGATGCTTGGGAGGGGTTCAGGCCACCGGCAGTGACAGAGCAGTAGGAGCCCAGCCTCTGTCAAGGATGGCCCAGGAGTTTGTCCAAGGAAGGTCTGCCAGACCAGCTGTGACGGAGTCCATCGCAGCAAAGGGAACACCAGGGGATCCATAGGGGTCCCACGGACTTTACAGCAGCCAGGCAGGCAAGAACCGCGATGCTAAGCCCTCTCTCTGCTCTGTGCCCCACCATCTCCCTCTACAAAGCGTCTTCAGATGCCGCACAGGAGCCAAGGAGCCCAAAAAATCACTAGTATCCTCTAGGAGATGCGTGGATTTTCCACCAGCTTCCAGCACTGCTCCTGAGCACAGCCTCCTCAACTGAGGACATCCCTGTCCCCCAAAGCTCCTGCCTTTGGGAAGGGGTGAGCTACCTCTCAACAGAGGGACAAGGCTCAGGGCTGGCTGCTGTATGGAGAACATGACAGAACCAGCCCTGTCCTGACCTCCTGGATGCCCAGCCCTCAAAAGGGGCCCTTGTTCAACGTGAGTGTCACTTCTGCCCTCACTCTAATGAGGGCAAATACACCAGGTCGCTTGAACCTGAATCTGGCATTGAACTCCTGACCCAGAAAGCAAAGCCTCCTGGCCCAGGCAAATCCCCTCGGCCAGCCCATCCTGCCTCCCCTCCTGGCGGGGGATTTGTGGGAATTATCCTCCCTCCGCCATCCCCCCGTGGTCCTTCTGCCTCGCAGCCTCCTCTCTGCCTTGCATTTTCTATCCCTTAATGACACTAAGAAGGGGCACTTTTCCCCTAATGCCGTGGGACGCGTTGCCTGGAGAAAGCCCCGTGCACGGATAGGGGCTACTCTCTGCTGGGAGCTCGGGGACGGATGCTGGCTGGGCAGTCAGGGTGGGCTGGAGCAGCCCCTCCGCAGCTCTCTGTGCCTGGGACGTGGGGTGGGAGCTCACCTGGGATGCAGCAGCCCACATACCCGGGATGTGGGGTGGGAGCTCACCTGGGATGCAGCAGCCCACACACCCGCACCTCCGGGCTGCTGCTTGACAAGTTAATGAAAATATTCTACTGGCTAATTAAACTCGCTTAACACCGGCTACGTCCATGGGTTAATTAGAAAAAGCACAAATGGCATTGGGCTGGAGCCCGAGCAGCTCCCACTGAGGCAGAACCGGGGTATGTCTTCCTGGAGGGAGGAGGTAAATTCCCTGGGTTGCAGAGAGCTGGGGTAGATGGAAGCACCTTCCTCATCCTCTCCTGAGCATGGGTGGCTCCAAAACACCCCCTGTGTCCCTTCAGGGCAGCGGGCCTGGCTGAGCCCCACAGACAGGCACAGGGACAAGGTGTGGGGCTGGCTCTGGAGGGACAACAAGGTGACCCGGGGCACAGCGGGATGCTGGCGGGCAGCTCAGCGAGCAGTGAGGGGAGGGCAGGCTCAGCCATGGTGGCTGCTGATGGACACCAGCTTCTGTGGCTGCTGCTGCTCCGGGCCAAGGAGCCCCGGTGGTAGCACACACGGCTCTGAGCCTTCCCGGCAGCGAGGGGCTGTGCTGCTGCTCCTGCATTAGCCTGGGCGAGACCTCTCTGCGCTGGGTGACCTCCCCTCTCCTCTGAGTGACCTCCCCCCTCCCCTGGGGCAGGGGCCACAGACAAGAAAGCAAGAAGTTTCCCGTTCCCCAGCACGGAGGTGTGCCATTCTGGCTTCCCTGCAAGGAGCAGCGATAGCCTCCCGCCTCAAAGTCTGCCAAAAAGGAGGATCAGATGCCAGGAAAGTAAAATAAGAGCCTAAAAGAAGTGCTTTTTTTTTCTCCAGCAGGATCAGTCCGCAGCCTGATCAGCGGACCCACTTACGGGGACGCTTGGCTGCAGCTCTCCAGCTGTGATGACATCGTGTCTCTTCCTATCTCATCACGCTGTTTGCACCACTCTCTCTTTGCAGCAGAGCCGAGATGAATCATTCTTCTCCCCTCTGAACATTCACAGGCACAAAAACCCTCCTCAGCGGCCCCTTCCTCTGCAGCCCTGGCTTTGCTCCTCCCTCCCATGGTGGGACACGGTGGGGTCCCATCGCACCCGGGGGTCCCTGCACAGAGCAAAGTCAGGAGCAGCTGGTGGGGAAACCTTCCTAATCCTGAAACCAGGGTATCGTTCAATGAGGGGACAAAAAGGATCCGTCCCAACTGTCCCAACCACCAGCACAACACAAATGTCAACCAAGAAAGAGCCACAAGATGCTGCTGGTTGGGAATCCACCAAGAAAATATTAGATGGAGCAACTATGCTATGAACTGCCCTGAGTCCTGGGAGCTGCTCCTGGATAATGCTGAGAGAAAAATCACCAAAAGTACCAAAAATACTCTGATTGTTGCAAAGGTTGTGTTTGTCCCTGTCTGAGCTGCTGGGCACAGAGGAGCCCTATGGGACAGGACAGGAGTGGCTGGTGGTGACTATCCAGTCTCCAGGCCACATCCAGATCAGACCAGCACACTGTGTGGAGCCGTGCAATACCCTCCAGATCTAACTGGTCTTGTAAAACCCTGTGGCTGCCCAGCTTTTGCAAAGGCTGTGGAAACCTCCCAGCCATGAACACTGGGGAACTGGGGCAGGGGGTGATGCCTGAGTGTGCAGAGAGCCTGAAATGATATCCCATGGAGGGCTGCACCCTGCTAACGAGAGGAGGAAACCAGGCACCGAGCCTGGCACTGCTGTTCCCCAGGCACGATGGTGGCTGGGGAGGGACGGGCAGCAGAGGGGAGCCAGGAAGGTACAACTGGGTGTTTGCTGCAGGGAAGGAAATGATGTGAAAAGCGTAGAAAGGGATTAAAAAGGACAGAGGTGATGGAGAGAGATGGGGAAAAGAGGATGCGGGAAGGAAAAGAAAAGAGGAGAAGAGACAGCCATGGCCTACAGGGTGTGAATTTTCTCACTGAGTGATGAAGGCAGCAGTGAGGCACCAAGCAAGCAGTAAATAAGCAGACATTAGTCCCTACGGAGAGGCTGTGCCCTCCTGGCCCCGGGCTGCACAGCCCTCTGCCCCACACTCCTGCCAGCCACACCAGCTGCCCATCCCTTCCCACGCCTGCTGGGGAGCAGAAGCTCTTCCCCCAGCACGGCACCACCAAGCCCACCCGTGTGTCGCCCAGCTCCTTGGAGGTGATGCTGGGACTGGAACTTCGACCAGGATCCCGGGAAAGGGACCCACCCACACCTTCTTGCATGTATCCCATAGACAGAAACCTGCTCCTTACCGAAAAAAACCCTGCTCCCTCACCAGAAGAACCCTGCTCCCCCTTGCAGGACCACGCAGTGGCTGCACAGCAAGTGCCAAAGCACCACGGAGCAACAGGGTCCCCCCAAAATCAGACTCCCTCGGCACACAGTAGGAGCTTGGAGCCAGGAGCCTGACAGCCGGGACAGATTTGTTCCTCAAGAGGTTTGGAAAAATAGAAATTATTTCCTATCTGAATCAATGAAACCATGTAGCTGTCTCCAAATGTGCCTGACCGGCCAGGGAAGAGGCAGACTGGGCTGACGGGGTTTTCTGTAGTCCCCAGCTGTGCTGCTTTGCGTTGCAGTCTGTCTTCATTAACTTTATTATTATTATTACTATTTCTGTACAGATTTTCAAGCCGGAACCATCACAACCCCAGCAGATGCACTTTTTTTTCCTTAGCAGACATCAACACCAACTTCCAAGCAACATGCAACCCCTCCTGCCTCTGCTTCCCCAGCCCACACCGCTCAGCCCGGTTCTCCCTACACCAGGCAAACTCCGGCAGGGGAGAACCAGGAAAATCCCCCCCCCCCAACAGCGAAGCTCCAGCTGGGAGCTTGGAGAGGGATGGAGAAGGGGTGCCCAGGCCACGCTGTGGCTCAGGGTCGGCAGGGACAGTCCCCAGTGCCATTCCCTCCTGGCTGGGAGCAGGAGACCGAAGCTGCAGGGCTGCAGAGGAGGGGGTGCAGGATCCATGCAGGATCCATCCAGCTCATACACAGCCCATCCCAACAGCACCCACCACAATTCCCGACCCCGCTCACCCGCCCTGCGCTGTGGGTTCTGCCATAAGGACCTCAGGTCCCCGCTGATGCCCTTTTCTCTTCCCTACTTTTCCAGACCTTCCTGGGGGAACTGGGAGATGCTGCCCACGGGGGAGCAGCGTGGCTGCCATGGGGGGGGAGGTCCCTGCGGACCCCACTCAGGGCTACCCCTTGCCCTCCCCAACCCTAAACCTTCAGCTCAAGAGAAAGGGGTGGAGGAGAGTCATTGCCCGCAGCACCACACACGCTTCCCCCCAGCTCCTGACCGAAACACCGGCCAGTGCCCCTCCACCCCAGTAAGATCCAAGCCCCTCTGCCCGGGTTCGGGACAGCAGGCTCAGCTCAGCCCCGACGTCCCCCCAGGGCACCGCTCGCCCACCCCAGCCCCACTTTCTGCCCGCTCTGCCTCCCCACACCACCCTCACCATGCTGGTGACCGGCAACGCCTGTCCCCAGTGGGGTGGCCACGCCACAGGATTATCCCCACCACAGAGGAACCACCACGGAGGAGCTACCACAACCCTTACCTGGGTCTCGGAGAGGTTGAGCTGCCGCGCTAGCTCCGTCCTCTCCCTGCCCACCACGTACTGGCAGCGCTGGAACTCCAGCTCCAGGCGGTAGAGCTGCTCCGCCGTGAAGGACGTCCGAGTCCTCTTGGGCCGGTCCAGGTCCAGGCCCTTGGGGAGCACGATCTCCCGGATCGTCCCTTTGGCATCTGGGAAGGGAAAGAGGGAGAAGGGCCGTCAGGAAAAAGTCACCGGGGAGGAAAAAAAGCCGGGCTGGGGAGGAAAGAGGCTGGGGGAACTGGCTGTAAAATGGATGTTACTGGGAAGGAAAAGCTGAATTAAACACCGCCTGCACCATCGGGGCTGGTCTGAGCGTCTGGGCTCACTGCAGGAATAACTGTAAGAAATCCCCCAAGCTGTGGCTAAAACAGGCAGCATCCCACAGTTCGGTTGTCCCCTCTGGCCCCAAATGTTGCAAGTTTATAAACCTCCAGGGAACAGTAACAAGTCTTCATAAAAATAGGGATTTTTTTTTTTCCCTGAGATAAACAGAAAATAAAAAAAACCAAGCATTTAATCACATCTAATAACAGCTTCCGAAAGCCAAAAGCAGAAAACAGTGCTATACCAAGAAAGAGTTCAAATTAAAAATTTTTTGATTGAAAATATTTTTTCTTTTATTTCTGTCCTTCCTCGGAGATACTGGGGAAAAAAAAAAAATCTCTGTTACAATTCCCTTTCCACAATTTCCAGAATTATTCTCACCGAAGGAATATTTTCTTGAAAAGCAGCATCTCCTACTTTGGAGCAACTCTCTATTAAAGGACAAGTTTTGGAAGTGCTGCACGCCCTGAGCCGCTCACGGCAGCAGATTTTATGAGACTAGGACTACTGCTGCCCACGGCTGGACACGGGGAAACAAAAGCTGGAGGGTTTACCTCCCACGTTAGCCCCACACCGCCTCTTCCACGCCTTCAGATGCCGCTTGTGGCCCCTCCAAAGGGACCACGGTTTTACTTTCCACTCACAAAGGACGAGCTCTCCCAGAAAAACCCACCGAGTCCCAAGCCCTGAGGTGCCAGGACACCTGCCCCGGCTCTATGGGATGGGATGTGCCCAGTCACCCCCCTGCCAGACACGGACGGGCTCTGTGTGCCAGATGCAGCACCAGGTATTAAAAATAGCCTTGGAAAGTGCCCACTGGGCTCCTGCCAGACCCCAGACTCCTCATGCTCCTTGTCCCTTGTGCTGCCTTTCCTTAAGCCCCAGCAACGCAAGCAGAGAGCCCGGTTTGGGGGACCCCCGGCCGCAGAGCTCCCCATTTCTGCCCAGTGGCTTTCCTGTAGGTTAAAATCCAGCCACAGAAGCCACACCGGGCAACCAACCCCGAGCCAGAGGGACCCAAGGTTCCTAGCAGCTTTGGCTGGAGATAAATTGCTTTCTCTCTTTCTGGCTGACTCGGGCATGGAAGGATTATAAAATTGCTGGGACAGGAAGGAGGGAAATAGGGAGCAGCAGCCGGGAGCTGGCATGGGGGGAGCAGGACCGGAGAGCAAGCACAGACTCGGGAGAGGGACCCTGAAGATGGTTTCCCACCACCACGTTGTGGTACATGGCAGAGGCATGTAGCCAGGCTGGAGAATGGCACCGCAGGAGGCACCGGGGCAGAAGAGGGCTTGGGAATGCCAGGGTGGGAGAGGGTTCTACGGGACCCCTCAGAGTACGGGCTCCGATCCAGGGTGGGCAAGAGGCTGTTGGAAAGGAAAGGGGTGGGCTGGAGGTTATCTCTGGTGGGGTATCTGGTGGGATTTGGACGCCAGCCTGGGAACCATTTTGCGAGGAGAAGAGCATTTGCAGGGATGATGCCCAGACCACGTCCGCACTCCCATGCCCACACCGCGGTCCCCCGACACAACAACAGCCGGGGCTGCCAGCAAGGAGCAGCTCACAGAGACGCTCATGCTTTCCAGCCGCAGCTGCAAGTAACTGCCCCTCTGCCCTCGCCGCTCCGTACGGCGCTGCCGGCATTATTATGGGTATTATTTATTGTTGTTTCCCCCGGCAGCTGGGCCGTGGGGCGGGGGGAGCGGGCGGGAGCACCAGAGGGAAGGGGGCACAGCCCGTGGTGCCAGCTCGGCAGGGGAGAGGAAAAACCCCTCGCTCCATCCTCTCACCGCCCCTGCAGCACAGGCGGGTCACAGCCCTATTGCATGCCACAGACCTTCCCTGCTGCCCACCCGTGCGGGTTTTGGGGGGCCCACGGCTATCCCCCCGTGCCAGGAAGGGCACAACACCATCCTGCCAGATTAACTCCCTCCTGAGAGCCTTCTCCCATCAGCCGCTGGATCCCAGAGCCCCAACACCCACCAGGTCCTGCTGGGGCTGCCCAGGGTTTTCCAGCAGCCCTTGGCCTCCCCAGCATGGTGGCAGGTTCTACTCTTGGGGAACAGGCTACACCTGACAACAGCACATCCAGGACAAGGTTTGGGACTGAAATCATGCCCAAAGAGGTCTGGTGCCAAAGGGATCAAGCTCTCCTCTGCCTTGGCCGCTAAATAGGACAAGGTGAGACAGGCGGCCGTGGCTGGGGAGCAGAGGGAAGGTGAGCTGGCATTAGCTTTGGGGAACCGACCCCCGAGGTGGTGAACAGCGATTTTACAGCCCGCACACCCTCTGCAGCGCAGCACAGCAGGCGTAGGAAGGACATACCCTGCACACCGACACACGCAGCAGAGCCGGGCACACACAGATGCCCCTGTGAGCCCAGGGACACATCACGCACTCCTGTGTGCATGAGGGACACTTCTCCCCTGCACAGGGACACACCACACACACCCGCGTATGCGGGGTTTCTGCACCAACATGGCTGCCAAGGCATTTCTGGGGCGCACACCCACCCTGCCAGCCCTGAACACGTACCCCTTGTCCCTCCCCATGCCTGGGGCTGGTGGGGACGTGGTGGCAAACACAAGTCCAGGCACACTTGGGGGGCACAGGAGCCCACAGCCCTTCTCGGTGCACCCCAAACAGCACTGAGGGGGTCTCCCTAGAGCTCCCCACATCCCGCCTGCGCTCCCCGGGCACAGCACTGGGGCAGCCCCCGGGAGATGAACCGGGTGGAGGGGGTAAGCACCCCGGATCTGCCCCCCATCCTGTTCTAGCCGCCCGTGGGGCTGCAGCCCCCACGCTTCCAGCGGGACCGCCCCAGAGCTGCCGGGCTCCTCCGGCCGCCGCCGGCGACTCTTTGTCCCGTTAATCCCCGCCGAGGACCGGCCCGCTGTTGGCCTGCAGTCCCCGGCCGTGTCCGCGTCCGACGGCACCCGCCAGCCTTGTCACCTCGACGGGACGGGGACGGCCGGGAGCCCAGGGCCGCCCCCGTGGGTAGGGCCACCCTGTCGCGGTAGCTAGAGGCTCCGTCCCGCACGGCTGGTCCCCGGTACCATACCGTACCGGTCAGCGGACTGAGCCCGGCCGAGCTCCGGGAGAGCACCGGGACGGGGAACTCCGCTCCCGGCTATCCCAGGGTACGGGGGACCCCGCTGCTTCCAAACCGGCTCCTACCGACGGGGAAGGTTCCCCCGTCCCCACCAAAGGCACGGCGAGCGAGCACCGAGGACCGGCCGGAGCGGGAGGCAGCCCCGGGGCAGCCGCTGGGCGCCGGGCAGGGCTGCGGCGGGGCCGTGCTGGAGCGGGGAGAACGGGGGGAGATGCGGCTCCTTCCTTCCCCCAGGAGAGGCTGCGAGGTGGGGGAGAGGGGTCCCTGCGGCACCCCACGTCTGGGGGGAAATTAAAAATATTTTGAAATATCTGAAAAATAAAATTTAAAATAATAATAATAAATTTAAAACCCCACCTTCTGCAAAAATCAACCAGGAGGTGCTTCCCTGGCGCCGGCCGGGGCTTGGCACCGACCCCTTCCCCGGGAGCGGGTCCCCGGCCGGGGGAGGGCCGAGAGCCGACGGGCCCCTGGTCCCTCGGACCGAGTCTCCCGGCCGCAATTCCCCCCCGCTTTATCCCGGCTCCGTTCCCGTTTATTTGCGCCGTTTCTCCCCGCCACCATTTTGTCCGCGCCATGGCGGCTGCAGCAAGATGGTGAGACCGGTGGCTCCCGGGCGAGGGTCCACAGGACCGGGAGAAGCCAGGACCTCGCACCGGGGTTGGGGACCGACCCCCGCCCCGCTCCCAGCCCCGGAGCCGTCGGGGCGGCCCCGGTAGGGCCGAGGCCGGGCCTAGGAGAGGCCTGACCCGGCCTGACCTCGGAGGGGGCTGCGGCGGTCGGGCTCGGCCTGGGCGAGCACCGAGGATCCCGGGGACGCCTCAGATGAGACCCCGGTACCGGCACCCGAGCGCTGCCCGCTCCCCTGCCGAGGTGCCCGGGAGGGCTGGGGCTGTCGGCGACGGGCGCCTACCGCTACAGCCGGGAAAGGGGCTTCGGCGGACGGCGGGGCCGTTTGCCACCCGGCCGCCAACCGCTCCACAGCCTCCGTGCCGCCCGGGCCGAGCCGTGGCGTGCCGTGCCAGGCCCCGCTCATGGCGAACGAGCAGGGACCCAGCTCAGGCCTCGCCACCCCCGGGACAGCGAGGAGGGAGGGAGGGAAGGAGGGAGGACACGGCCGAGCCCCGGGGCCGCGGCTCCCCGGTCCTCCTCGCCCTGCCCGAGCGCTGGATTTGGGGCCGGGGCAAAGGCCGGAGCGGCCTCGGTTCTGCTCTACCGAGCGGCCACGGAGCTTCTCCGGGCTGCGGCTTGCGGGGCGGCGGAGCGGGGGGACGCTGGCAAACCGGGATGGAGCCGCGCTGCCGCCCCCGGAGCCGGGGAGCGCTCGGCACCTGCCCGCCTGCCGCAGCCCCGCCCGGGAGCCCCAAACTTTCGGGGTTCGCCACAACCCAGGCCGGTCCCGGTTGGAGCCCCGGGCCGGCGGGGGGCTGAGCGCGGGCGGCGGGGCGGGATGCGCCGGCTCCGGGTCCCGCCGTTGCCCCGAGCCGGGGCCGAACCTGCCCCGTCCCCCCACCCCCGGGCGAGCAAGTGGTATTATAAAGAGGGGAAAAAAAAAAATAGCCCCTAACTCGCCGCCGCTCCGTGACGCTTTTCTCCTGCGACAACGCTTTAAAAGCAAAGCTGATGCTTTCACCCCTCTCCCGCTGCCTGCGCATCCCCCCGGCGGTGATCAGCCGGCCCGGGGGGGAGTCCATGGCCCCACGGTTGTTCCCCCGGACCCCGGCTCGGCCCGTTGAACCCGGCCGAGCCCGGCCCCTCGGCCGCAAACGGAGGCGGGCACGCACGGCGAGCCCGGCTGCGCTCCCGGCCCCGCTCCCGGGAACCGCACGGCGGGGAGGGCTGGGGAACCGGGCCCGGTCCCTGCCGTACGGAGCGGAGCCGGGGGAAGGGAAGCCGCGGCGGCGGCGGCGGGGCCGGGAGGCCGGAGCTCGCAGCCGGCCAGCGCCCGGGAGCGGCCGGGGATGCGCTGGAAGCAGCGCCGGGGAAGGAGGGGGCGGAAAGCCTGCCCCCATCCCGCTGCCACCCGGCCCCGGGGCGAGAAGCGGGGACCCGGCCGACGGGGGCGAGCGCAGGAGGGAAGTGCCCCGGTGGGGGGAAGCGGAGAGCGGGAGCCGGGGCCCGGGGACCCTGCCCGTACCTCGCACCAGGATGCGGCGGCAGTAGTCCGCTTCGCCTGCTCCCGACGGGCTCTCGCTGTCCGGGGCGCACTCCTTGGAGGAGCCGGGGCTGATCGCCGACGTTCCCGGGATGTCCTTGAAGCCGCCGCGGCCTCCTCCGCCGCGCAGAGCGCTCTCCAGCTCCGCCCGGGTCGGCGCCTTCTCCCGGGGCCGCCCGGTGGCCGCGGGCTCGGCCAGCAGCACGGGGCTCCTGCCAGGCTCGGCCCCTCCATCGCTCATCCCTGCGGGCGCCGCGGCGGGATCAAACATCAGGAGGGAGAGAGACAGAGACAGGGAGAGGGAGAGAGGAGGCAAGACTAGGCGGGGG